GACTAAAAACTAAACTTTCTTCTCTAATTATATTTAATAATAATTCATCTAATTGTTCAGGCTCACTATCTGAAAGTATTTCATATAAATTTTCATTCATTTTTTATTTTTTATTCATAATAAATTTTGTGAACAAAGAAATCAAAATGCAAATGTAAATTGTTATTTTATTAATTGATTAATCAATCAAATTACTAAAATAACTTGGAGCAATCTGGAACAAAAATTATATTGTAACCCAGGTTATAATAAATTATTTACTCCGGGTTAGTACAAAAAATTAGAAATCTTAACCCGCTCTGTGACAGAGTGATACATAACCCAAGTTGATGCCAGAACATTATGCTCCAGTTAACAACCCTAAGTATTCGATATGTGTATAATTTATTAATTTTTGACCAGTGAATTACAGTAAATAAATATAAAATTTATATATTATATATATGTTTTCTTATTTAAAGTTAATTATAAGAATTTTTTATATTTTATTATTAAAAAATTAACTTTAATATGTCACAACTTTTGTTAATTATATTTGAATTTTATTAATTTTACAAATATTTCAAATCTATATTAATCATTTTTAAAAATCAAGAAAAAAAAATCAGAAAATAATTATCAATTAGTTTCACAAATAAAAACTTTTTTATCTATTAATATAATAATAAAAATTATATTAAGTACAGTTAAAGTTTAATATATGAAATATATATTGTGAAAGTTTCAGATTTTCAAATTGAGAGTTGAATTTAATATTAATGGTTGAATATCAGTTATTTTAAAATTATACTCTAAAGTTTAATTATGTATTATTTTCTCAATTTTCAATTTTTAATATATAAGATTAATATTTTTATATAAGATACTTCATATTTCAAACTTTAAGATAACTTAATACTACATTTATTATTAAGTTAATAAATAATTAAGATTTTTAAATATTTATAATTAATATAATTATTTTTGAATTTTTTTTTTTTTATTTTTTTAAAATTTTTTTAAATTTCATCATTTTTATTTACATCTAAGTGAAGTCAAAATTTTTATTAAATACTGAAAAAACTGTAAATAATTAAAATTGTATATATTATTTCTGACTACAATTTCATATAAGATAGTTAGTATTTATCTTTAATATCTATTGAATTCAGTATAGATAATAATCTAAGAATAAATTTATTATTTTTGTCAATTTTATATATCTATTTATAGATGTTCAATTTTATCACAAAATATATCATATGATAGTTCTAATTTAGGAAAATCTAATAAAAAAAAGTTTGTACAATTTAGATCACTTTTTGTATTACAATTAGTATTTTAATTTTAGCAATTATTTTCATTTCACAAATATTTTTGCTAAGGGAGTGTATATTATAAATTAGTTTAGCTAAAATCAAAATTTTATGATGGTACCAAATTTCTCAAAATCTTATAAAAAATAAAATGTAATTTAAATATTAATTAGTTAATTGAATTTGTTAATATTAAAATAAAAAATTTAGAAGTCAATTCATTTGTAGATTTATTATTATTTTCATTACAATATTATAATTCTTTAGCTTTGAGAGACCTTTGAAATCAAGATATCTACTGGTATAAATTGTCAATAAATGTTATTTGAAGTTAAACTATTTGTATTACTGTTGTTTGTTAGATTTATTCCTTCAATTTGATTATGTATTCTGGTTTTTTCTCTAATAAATTATTAATCATATTATAAAAAATTATCATATAATTCTTTAGCTGTTGTCTTTGATTTGGATTTGCACCTGACATTTTTTCATTATATCTACTAATAATTGAGATGTTTTAAAATTATTCCATTACAAATTTTTAATGCCAAATCTTTATCATGCGGAATATTGCAAAATGGATATGATTATTACAAAACTGTAGATGTCAGATATTTTTGAGTAATTATTATAACCAGATAGCTGAAATTCCAATTTCATCAGTTTGTCTAGATAAACTCAAATCTGTAATAACTCATCTAGTTTCATCATAAGAAAGAAAATCCAACATGAAAATCTTGGTGAATTTCTAAAATTTCTACATATCTTGTTATACATAAATTTTCTCATGATTTTTTGAACTAAATATAAATAATAAATATGTAAAACTTTGTATGTTAAATTTATATTATATTAATATAAAATAAGTAAAAATTAACTCATTTAAAAATTCAACTGTTTACATTTTGTGAATTGTTTAAAGATTTTAACACAACTTTCCTATCACTTTTTCTATCCCATTGGTTTGCCTCCCTCCAAATTGCCAAATCCATTTTTTCTAAAGCTCTTTTGAAAACGTTGAGAATTACATTGTAAGCACCAATCATCACCTGTATTTTTATAGAATTCCTCATAAATTAGATTTAATTAATTTAATTTGTAAATATTAAATTTAAAGTAATATTAATTTAGAATACGTGTAGAAAGCCGAGTATATAATAATAATAAATGGTCAAAATTTTTTTTAAGATTGCAAATTTCTATTAAACCTAATAATGATAACATTAATAAAATGCGGGGATAAGTTAAATTCTTTCCGTTTCTCGCGAATCGCGAATTAAGTGTTGGATTTTTTTAAAAAAAATTCAAAACATTAATGAAAAGATAAACAGGTTAACCAAGTTCCACAACTAATGAATAGTTACCAAGCTTTATTAACAATACAATGTTCCATCAGATTAGATCAACAAACTAATGCTTCCACTTCGTTAAAAACAGCATCATTTTACACTTTTAATGCTTACTAACGAGTTTAGCAAAATTGGAATTACAAAATATTATAATTCTAACTGACAGAGCCTTGGCTAATCGTCTTAGCTGTATTTATTGTTTAATAGATTCCATTATGTAACTCTTTTACAATGTCTTGGAGAGAGGTTCCATTGTTATAAAAAATAAAAAATCAAAAATGAATCATTTTGTTTTTCGAATAAAAATTTTTTATTTTATTTTTATATTTTTAAAAAAAAGAGAAATACATATATACATTTTTTAAATACAAGTAATCAAATCTTTAATAATGATTTATGAATTGTTTTTATCTAATTATAAACTTGAGGCAAAGCCTCTCTGGAACAAAAAAAAAAATAATTGTTTTTCATTTTAATTCTTACTATTTTACTATTTATGATCGAGAAATTACAGTAAATAATGTTTTTTCGAAAGCTTTTCTATCATTTTTAAAAGGAATATCAGGATTATAATCAATGATTCCTTCATCTTTATTATCTATAATGTCCATAATTTCAATAGAAGAAATTACTGAAGCTATGAGAATAGCGGCCAGAGTTGGAGCAAACTTGTCAGCAGCGATGCATTTCATTTTCCCCATGGAAAAAGGAATAAAAGGATTAACTTTTGAAGATATAGAAACGTGGTTTTTAAATCGTTCAGGATTAAAAAGTAAAGGATTTTTCCAACTTTTTGGGTCACGATGAATAGTTTCTAAATCTATAGTATATTTATCGTCATCAATTTTCCTATGTATATGTCGGGTTGCGGGATATAATCTTAATGTCTCTTTTACAATGAAATGTAATGGATTATTTTTTAAAGTAGTGTGAGAAGGATTTTTTAGAAATTGTTCAATTGAGCTATCTAAATCTTTATTGTCAGTCGAAATTTCTGATTTCTCCTTTTTTTTCAATTTTTCTTGTAATTTTTGATTGAGAATTTTTCGTACTTTGATTTCTAAAATTGCATATAGCAAAACTCTCCACATTGTTTCGTAAGCAGGAAGAATAATATTCAATGGTGATTGTAATTCTTCTATAGTAGGTTTGGTAAATCCTGAAATAGGTTGAGAATATTGGGATGTTGTGTTTTGTAAATGTTTACGTCCAATTTCTGAGATTATTTGTAATATATTGTTATTCTTTTCATTGTTGTTACTTGATGAAGAAGTTGTTATTGTTTTTAAAGAAGAAGCTTTTTGAAGAAGATTTTTAAGTAAATTATTAGAGTTCTTAATTGATTGTTTATTATTTTCAAATTCTTTAGAATTTATCCAGATTTTATTTATAATCTCCGGAATATTTTCTGCAATGTCATAAATGTTGGAATGAAATCCCAAGTATCCACGTAATACCACATTTAAAGTAATTTTCTGAATCCAAGGAATTAATTCAATTGAAGTAGGTTGATGGAATTTTTTTCTGTTTATAGTATCCAAAGTAATATTAACAAATTCTGTCCATTTTTCATCTTCTATCTTAATAGTTTTGATAATGGCATTTCTAAATTCGTTACGATACCCTTCGTCAGGATTGGTGAATGGATTTGAGATACCAAAAGCATTTTTTAATCTTTGATTTGGTATAGCGCGAGATATAACATCAGTGTTTTCTAGAATTTTTTTAGCAGTATGGATATCAGTAATAATAAAAGTTTTTGAACTATGTTTTTTATGATAATAATGTTTTAACGAGACAAGAAAGATAAAAAGGAAGATAAAAATAATATTCTTATTATCAAATTTCAAAGTATTGAAATTCGAAATAAAATTTAAAATATTTGTAGTAATCATTTTGTCAGAAATTAAATATTTGAGAACAGAAGCAGAACGCAACGATATTACCATTCGCCCTTATATTTATATAAAAAAATTCTTAAAGTTTATCGTAAAATATAACTACATTTATAATATCATTTTTGTTTTTTGGATACAATACATTTCCATCATTACATCATTTACATACTCAAACTATTATAAATTTGCAACCAAATTACCATAAACTGCCACAATCTCGCTTTGTGCATAAAAAAGGAGATTTTTTAGTTTGGTTTTTTATTGTTTTAAATTCTTTTTTGGTTAAATTAAATTACAAACTAAGATTGATTGTTTACTATTAAGGAACAGATGAACGAAAAATTATTAAACTACTTGATTATTCCACACCATTATTGTTTGTGTGTGTAAATTCTTTATAAAATTATAAGATATATATATAATTATCTTTTTAATAATGTTGTCAATCCTGCATGATTCTATTCTTAACCTTAAATATAGAATCCGAGATGCGTTGCTGCGTTGCTGCGTCGCTGTACTATATAAATATAAAATAATTATGGTACTGTATTTCCTTTTGCGTTATTTAATAGATTAGATTCCGAATAAATGAAATTTTGAAGTATACCAAATGGAGAACACAAGTCAGAACGTACAAGTCAATGAGAATATTTTTAGTCAGACAAATTGAATTTTGACCACAGACACAATGGAAAGATATCTTAATAGTACACAGGTATTTAAAAGACGTCTGGACATTTATAAAGAAGAAATCCGTATAAGTTGTAAGGAAAAATATAAGATACAGATACAATGCGTGTATTTAAATGTCAAGGAAAAATGCAAACCTTTACAAGAAGCCTTTCTAAAAATTTATGATCTGAAATAAGTAGCAGAGCAGAAGGCAAACCTAAGTTCAAAATGTTTGAAATCATTAATAAAGTAGACTCTATTAAAGTTAATACTATTGAGTTTGAAAATGAGAAATATAAAGAAAGAGATTTCTCATTTGAAGAGATTATAAGGGGATTTATACCTGGAGACTTAATCAAGGTCACAAAAACATTAATAGATGATACTTCTATTGTCAAAAGAGTTAGTTTAGCAAGTATGTATAGGTGCCGCCCAAATTCAAAATGCTAAATCCCAAATCCCAAATCCCAAATTATGCCAACCAAATACTATGAAAACTGAATTTTGGCAGCTGAAATGCCAAAATAATTTGGGATTTGGGCGGCATACACACAAGTATGTAGAAAATTCAGATTCAATTGATTCAATTGAGAACATACTGGAAAGTAAAAAAAATGGTATTGACAAAAAATTAAATATAATAAAAAAAAAAAAACCTAAATAAAGAAAGGGAAAAAAAAATTAGATAATTTTAATGACAAAGACATCAATATAACACTTAGATTCAACTTAGAAAATAGTAAAAATTTATTATTTAAAAAATCGTATTTCAATTCAGATATTCCCTGGGACACAATTATTTTTCTGTCCTTGAATGGATTTCCTTTTAGAGGACGGCGAGTCGGTTGTAGATTTTTATCTTAATTTTTATTCTTTTTATTATATTTTATGGTTATCAAAAAAAATTTCAGGGTGATAAATATTCATAAGTGAAGTGAATACTTCAATGTTTTTAAATTTTTTTTTCATTATTCTTTTGATTTTTTATATATTTATCTTTTTTTTTTTTTTTTTTTTTTTTTTTTTTTGAATGACCATTTTAGCAATTCAAAACTTTCTGAAACTTCTTTAAATGTAACTTATTATAATTGAAGAAGAGAGAAAGATAATTTTAGCAAGCTATTCAAAGGTTAAAATGATTTATCATTAAAACGTATATTAAAAGCTAAAGCGGAGAACCATATTAAAGAACATTTGTAATAATCACGTCAAAATTGTCTATTTTAATGTTTTTTATATTCACAATTGATGACAAGTTTCGTAATTAATTAATCCTAAAGTAAGCTGTTGTTTCGAATTTTTTTTTAAAAAATCATGAAAAAAAAAATTAAGCAAATTTTTAAATAGGGCAAATTATTTATGTTAATTTTTAATACAATTTTTTCTTTTCATAGCTAATTTTTAATATGATATTTTTTTTTGCAATTTATAAATATCCATATATCAATTAACAAAAATTTATAATTGAAAATTTTAATATAATTTGAAATTTATATTTAATTAAAATCACTGAATTATATATTAATATTAATAGAATAATTAATAAATTTCAATCTAATATTGACACTTATTTTCCTTTCTTCGCGATTATTTTCTATTATTTATCTTTTATTAAATCATAAATTCTCGCTATATAATACAAATTATGCCAATACAAATAAATTAAATTATTATGCCCGAAACAAAATAAAATAATTATTTGTTCAATTTTTTTTTTTTTTAAAAAAAAAAAATACATTTAATTATTACCAAAAATGCAAATCAAAGTCTTTCTATTGGTTTCTATTGGTTGTACATTTCATTTTAATTACCATCATATGAAGGAAAGTAATTATAAACTTTTTGTATTTTCAGGAGGATTTTTATTTTTGCTTCCCTTTGGTCTTCCGCGCCTTTTTGACATAGTTGACTCTGATTCACCATTAGAAAGAACGTGAACCGATGATGATAATTTTTCATCCTCCTCTTGTGTTATTATAAATATTATTAACATTAATTACGTAAAGTAAGTAGAATTCGAAAAATCAAATTAGAAATCAAATAAAATATTTATAAAAAATCACAGAAAAATAGTCTATAAACATTATAAACTACTGACTTTCTTTACATGCAGGAGTTTGATCAGAAAACTTTCCAAGAATGTAATGATTAATGGAAATAGTTCCTTTAACGACAACTGGTAAATTAACTCTAAAAATGAATAAAATTCTTATTAAAATTCTTATTAAAATTCTTATTAAAATTCTTATTAAAATTCTTATAAAGTTATTACTAAAAAATGATAATAATATAATATTAAAAGAATTATACATTAAATTTAAATCTGTCAATATTTTGATATTGTGAAGGAAAGATTTAGTATTGATCTTTAATAACTTTATTAAATCTGCTTGTGTAGCACCAATATTGCGCTTTCGTGCAATTTGTTGTAAAATGTTATATGCTATTGGTGGTATATTTTGAGTGATCTTTAAAGTAATAAAAAATTAATAGTTAATAAAATATTTAAATAAATCCAGTTGATAATATTATACATACATCAACTGCACCAAATAAAATTCGTTTTTTATAATTAGTTGTTGCTTTCATTCGAAATTTATCTCCATAAGTAATTTTTATATCATTTAAAGTCATACCATAAAGTTTAGGTTTTTCTATTGTCTAATAAAATTGAATTTATTTATTAAATATATTAAAAGAACATTTTTTTAAAAAAATAGTTGTTTCCTAATAAAATAATAATTAAGAATACAGCTCATCTAATTAACTTACTGAATCTAAATCACTTTGTTCATTCTTATCTTTTACAATAAAAAATATTAACTCTTCACTTTTCATAAATCTTATCCAATAAAATTCTTTAAAATAATCATCAGCATAAGGAACTTCAGGTGTTTCAAATTTTAATAAGCCTGCTGGTATATCTAAAGGTTCTACATAACTAAATCGTTGATTAAAGAAATCTTGTACAAATATCCAGAGTTCTTCTAAGCCACAGCCTGTATTAGTAGAAATGGGGTGGGTTTAAGTAAAGATAATTTATAATTACCTTTTTTAATATTTACTAACTATTAAACTAGTACCTAGAGCTCCTTCTAATGAAATTTCTTCTAAGCAATATTCTTTAAGGTCGTCAATTATTTGGCGCATTATTTTCAAATAGAGTTACTTTTTAAATGGATTTTTTTTTTTTTTTTTTTTTTTTTACAGTTTAAATATAGTTTAAAGTTACATATGATATGTTTACCTTATTCGGTAATTTGTTATATGACCTCAATTTTATTAATTTTATTCAGGTAACTCCGCAATTAGTTATAGTTTCCTGTAGAATTGATTTATGAGAATGCCTTTAGAACGAAATATGATATTCCTTAGCTTGTTTTTATTAAGTATAATTAAGATAAATTAAATAAATAAATTATAAGAGATTTTAATTATTTTTCAGCAACGTCATATAAAATTAATAAATTTGAGTTAGATGATACGCGCAATGATCTACGTATCCATCAAATGGTTGTTGTTGATCTTTTGCTGAATTATAAAATTATTTTAAAACTTTTGTAGTGTATATTTTTAAATCTCTCAATGAGGGAAATTGTTTGATCGAACATGTGCAAAATTGATTTTGACATTATAATTTCATTTTAAGTTTATTCATTACACTTCACTAACTTGAATATAGAAGAATCTAAAGCTTTTCTTTTTTTTTTTTTTTAAAAAAAAAAAAGGACTAACGTGGTCATTTCTTGTCTTTATTTACTTATGAACCATTATTATACATATATATATATATATATATAACAATTTACAAATAAAAATCTGGCTAAGACTAAAAATAAATTTAAATCTGCGACCTAACCATCCGCTATAAAAGTTACCATTTTACCAAATCAAGATCGGTCTGAGTCTAAACAAAAAAAAAAACTTTTATTTTCATCATCCCTTACCTTAGGAAACAACATTCCATCCGCCAAATTTAAAACATTATTCTATGTTATTTAATTTGGATCCCATATCGTCTTGATCACTAAAAGTGCTTTCTCATTGCGGACCTTCCTTCAATTTTCGTATATAAAGCGTCAGTTTTTTTGTCGATAGAAGAATCTAAAGCTTATTGGCCTCGATGAAGCAATAGTTGTTTTAACCTTGATTGGATCGATATTCGTCGTCGAGTTATTGTCCATAATATTATACAATGAACAAAAATTTTCGAGATTTACGCCACTACATAATATACGTAAGTGGCTAAATATTAACTTGTTATATATGTATATAATACAAACTTTTGATTTTAATTCTTTGGCTTTAGAAGATCCTTGAAATCAAGATTTCTTAGTAGTATAAATTACTGATGTAAGATAAGAAATTTATATCAAAAATGGTTGTCGAGACAACTTACCATTTTATGTAGAAAGCCAGTTCGATAAACATTTTGAAAAAAAATGATCAATATGAATTATGAATTGTGAATTGTAATTTGAATAAATAAATTTTGCGAAATTTTTTATTATAAAACATTTACAAAACAAATCCGAAATGACGTTGAAAATTATGCAATATATCATTTCTGTTCTTTTATTTGAAAGACCGCTGTTAATAATTTCTGGTAATAGTATTAATTCTGAGGTAAAATTACTTGTTAAAAAATAATCAAATTTCCTTTAAAATACCAGTGAACCAATTCAAAATACTCACTTGTTATAAACAATTTAAAGAATTTACAAACTAACGGAAATTCTACGAATTGTTCACCAAATTCGATTAGGTTTAATTTATTATAAACGATGAAAACCTATGCAGAAAAAAACATTGTTCAATTTAAAATATCAGATTTCTTAAACTCTGAAAAATGTCACTATTCTTTTTTGAACAAATTTATTAAACATTATTACAATCTGAGTGTGCTAAATTCTTTTATGTATCTATTATTCTATCGAATATCTGTTATAACTATTATTATTATTATTATTATTATTATTTTTATTTTTATTTTTATTTTTATAATTATTATTATTATTATTATTATTATTATTATTATTTTTATTTTTATTATTTTTATTATTTTTATTTTTATTATTATTATTTTTATTTTTACCATGGTAATGACTCTTTCCTCCTAACTAAATTAAAATTATAATTAGGTGATAATGAATCGTTTGGTATACTACTTGATAATCCTCTATTTTCACCTTCACAATTACTACCGCTATTATTAACATTCTCGCCATTATTACCATAAACTCCATAATATGTAGTACCTGATGGTAATGTTGCTGAACGTGTTGAACTTATTAATGGTACCGAATCGAGGGTAATTAGAGAATCCACTTTAATTTTAAGATGTTGATTTCGTTTCTTATATTTCTTTTTCTCTTCATAATGTGTTCGTGCACATTCTTTAATAAATCGTAAAGATATGAGAGAATTATTATAAATATAGGTGGAAATCATAAGATATGTGAGAATTATTATTACCTTGTAAATGAGCTTTAAGTTCCATGGAATAAGAATAATCTAATGCCGTCCATCCAGCATTATTCTTAACCGCAAATTGACATCCTCGTTCGATTAACAATGTTACAGCCTATAATGTTAATAAAAGAAAGAAAGAAATATATTAAATAATGTATAAATTATTAAATAAATATTTTGAATCTGATTATTATTAATTACTTGATATCGATCCCAAGCCGCTGCGCTATAAATAGGTAAATAAATAAATAATTAATTAATTATTATAATTCACATCTTACACTATCATAGACTGATATTAAAATTTATACATACTAATGAAGTGTGGTATCTCCTTCTGCATCAGTTTGATTTATATCTGCACCTCCGTATTCTAATAAAAACTAAATAATATAAAATATATATCAAATTATTAATGAATAAATAATTATTTTTATTTATTTGCAATATTGCATTATTATATATAACATACATTAATGGATTCCAAATGTCCAAATTTACACGCATATATTAATGCCGTTTGTCCTTTCTTATTGACCATATTGATGCTAGAGGGAAAATGTGTTAAATAAATTCTCATTATCTAATAAAAATTAAATTAAATAAAACTTTAGATAAAATAAAATAAAATAATATTTTAATTTTTTTTTTTTAAAAAAAAATTTTTACCTACTTTAATACGATTATATTGCGCAGCTATCATTAAAGTTGTGTTATTCTCGAAATCCTAATAAATTGAACGTAATTATTTTATTATTATAATTATTAACATTATTGATTTTATATATAGATATCGATATATATAAAAAATTAATATATTATAATGTCAAAACTTACTCTTGATAATTCAACATCTTCATGACCATTTTGAATTAAAAATTCTATCAAAAGTTCAAATCCATGTTTTGTTGCATACATCAAAGTTGTCCTATTTATTTTAAAATTGAGGGTAAGCAAATATTTCAAATAGACATAAATAAATAAAGTAAATAGATAAATCTACCATCCATTCTTTGGATCTGGATTTTGTATATCAACTTTAGAAGAAAGTTGTTTGATCAAATGCAAATTTCCTTCACATGCAGCTCTTCGAAGCCGAAATCTTGGATCTTCTATTGTCATTATTTAATTAATTAGTTGATATATATTTATATTTATTTTTAAATAAAAAATTGAAAGATCGATGATTTCAATGATTTTTTAAGTAATTTAAATGTATTTTAAAATTATTTTAAAATTATTTTAAAGTATTTTTGAGAAAAGTAATCAAAAATAATAATAATAATAATTTAAAGTGATTTAGAGAAGGGAAGGAAAAAAAAAAAATTCTTCAACCTAAAAATTTCATTTATTTATTTACTTCATATAGTGAAACGATAATTTATTTTGTATTACAACTATATTTAGGTAATAAAATAAACGTGCGTATATGCGACATGTCATGTAAACTGTATATGCGTTTCCACTATTTCTATTTACGGGATGGTAATTCTGATAAAATTCACCTCTTTGTGTGATAACATGATGCAATGAGGTATTGAATATCATGGATCTATCTGAATTTATGTTAATCTTTATATGGTAATGAAATACAATGTAATTTTGATAGATAGATATATATATATATATCTATATAAGTTTTTTAAATAAATAAAAAACCGGCAGTATATCATATTTCAATACCATATTTCATTAAAATTAAAAAAATGGTATGGAAATAAGATTTAAAATTTTCATTTATTTTTACAAAACTACGGTTACTTTTATGGTTTATTAAGTAAATTATTAAAAATATAGTAAATTAATTTGGATTTTGGAATTTGTAACTAAAGTAATTTAATTGTCTGGAGCGAAGTGTAGGACTTTATACTTATACGCATAGTGAAGATTTGAATGATAACGATCCTTGTCACTAAGTTTGAAGATAACGATCATGTGATAATTGATACATCCCATTGGCTTTGGACTCATAATGGTGATTTGGCATTTGAATTTGGGTAACATATAGACTATAAGGGTCCCGGTAAATCTGGATCGATCCAATAATCTGGATTCGTTATTTTAAATCCAAAATAAAAATGGATTATGGATACGGATCATCCGGATTAAATACTATTAATTATCGTGCTTCCATTTCACAAAATTGATAATATAAAATTTTCTCATGTTCCTTTTTCTTTTTTCTTAATAAAAAATATAGTTGGAGAAAGTTTATTATATTTCAGTAGTACTCAGAAAGAACATGAAATTAAATATAATTTTCCTGAGAACTTTATATTTTTATCAAAAAACTTTTCTTTAAAAAGAATAAACATAGTAAAATCGAATCTCTACAATCTGTTTATAATAATAAATAATAAATAAATAAAATAAAGAAGGAGAAAAATGAAAATGGAATAATATAAAACCAAGAGGAGAAAAGTGAAGGAGTTAAAGGTACAAAATTTGTGTAGAAGGATGACAAAATTGATATTTTTACAAGAAAAAAAATGATAAAATCAGTGATTTCAGCATTTTCACAAAGAGAAAGAATAAAATTAACAATTTCATGAGAAGAAAGTGAAATATATAAAAAAAAAAAGTAAAAAAACTAAAATAAATTGGAAGAGACATCAGGAAATTTTTATTGAAAATAATATAATTATATTATTTTCAGTTAGTGTAGGTTATTCCTGGTTAGAAAGGTAGTGTAATAACAAAAATTTACTACCTTTGTCATGTGATCTGATGACAAAAGTTGCAAAAGTTTCATTTTTGATAGATCAGGGGTTATTTTTTTGATATACTTTGATGTACCCTGAATTTGATTACTTTTTTGATAGATTTCGATGGTACCCATTTTTTTGGTTATTTTTTTGATACTTTTTAATAAGTATTAATAAGTGAGTGATGCAGATCAGTTCTTTAATTTTTACGTGACACAAAATTTCTTTACGTGTTCAAAGTAAATTTTAATAAAAATGTCTATATTTGAAAATCAAATAATTTATAATAATGATAATACAGTTTCAGTTCCCTTTGGACGTGCTGCTGAGTGATATATTTTACAACACCCACTTTTAAAAAACACATGATTAAAATCACAAAGTCATTTAAATACTCTATAATTAATTAAAGAACAAATAATTAAGCTTTGTCACGTTGAAGGTACTGTAGATTTTCTAGAATGGGAGTGTATTGATAAAAAAAAATCAACAAATCGTATTGATGACATTATAGAACTTACAACTAAAGGGAAAAAATATATTAAAAAAATTCAAGTTGGTATTAAAAAGGATAAATTATGTTGGTCTTGGATTATGTATTGTGCTGGAGATGGAAATACTTGTCAACATATATGCAGTGGAATTGGTGAATGCATATCTAGTTGTTCAAATTATAATTTAGCTAATAACTTACGAAATGAAAATAATATGCATCGCTGCTCTGTTCGTGTACATTCATTCTCATGATTATCAAATCTTAACACAAGTCATCCACTTTGTATAAAAATAGAAGGATATCATCATTCTTCCAATCTATTAAATACTGAAAATTAACAAGTTACACAAATCAATCTAACATGACAAATTAGAGATAAGATTACTATTAGTTGTCGTGCAGATCATCAAACAACAAAAGAAATAAAAGGAAAATTATTAATTTCATTAAATGGTGCAATAGAGGAAGAATTAAATAATTCATTATTAAATAATAGAGAAATTTGTGACAATAAAAAATTAAAAAAATTTATTGTTTGTGAAGATCAAAGATTAAAAGAGAATACTGGTTCATGGACAATTCTTCATTATTTAATTGAAGAAGTTTTAAAACCTAAAGGATATATTTTATATTATTAACAACCAGATTTATCTCAACCTGAAAATTCTGCAGAACATTATTATCAATTAACTGTATCTGATGAATTTTGATTGCGAAATAGTAGAGATTTTGAACAATTTTGTATTGGAATTGATGGAAAATATAACCTTAATATTGATCGTGCACCTATTTTAACTATGATTGTAAAAAACAATATAGGATATGGAACTCCATTAGTATTTGGTATATATTATTTTATTATAATTTTTAATATATTTATTTTAATATTTTTAACGAAATAACAAAATTAATTTATTAATTATTTAATATATTTTGTACTAATATTAATTTGTTTATTTTATTTAATATATAACAGGTTTAAGTAATAAAGAAAATAATTGGTCAATACGTTTAGCAGTAAATGCAGTTAAACAAAATATACCATGTAATAATTCTGATTGTGAACATCTATGGCACTATGAAAATCTTTCAAATAATAAGGGATTTAAAAGAATCTGAGATTGTAACAATCAAATATGGAATCCATATATAATGATTGATAAACATAGACCTTCAAAACTTGGAGTAGAGGGATTAGTACGTGAAACTATTCTTTGTTGGTTTCATATTATGCAAACATTTGATAATAATTTAAAAGAATGGAATATTCCGCAATCATTTAGGTAATAATTTAATATTTTATTTTATTTATTAAATATATTATACAATTTTAAAAATAAAATTTTAAATTTTAATTTAGATATCCAATTGCATTGGGTTTTAAATTAATAGCCCGATGTCGAACTGAAGAAACATCATTTGAAATGGCCAGCATTTATAAAAATTTTATTAACTCTCTTCCATTAACACAAGAACAAAAACATTTGATTATTAATGATTTGGATAATAATTGGATGTGTAATGAATGGCGATTACAATTTATTGATGCAGGCCGTCTTCCTGATGCACCTAATTCAAATCCAATGACTACAAATAATTACACAGAAAGAATGAATCGTACAATTGAATCTAAATTATCAGGAAAACAAACAGTAGTTACATTTATTGAAAGACTTTATG